AGTTAACGGACCAATGTGTAGGATGTAGTGGAACCTTGTTTAACCCACCCTTTCCATGCTCGACAGAGAAATGGAAATGGCGAAAAACACGAATGGACCTATCTAGAGCTGGTTTTTGGTTTGTCTGTTCTCGTGATTATATACTAATGAAAGCATACTTATGAATAATATATTCCACTTCTGTGAATAAATGCCCTAAAAGGTCTAAGATGTAACATTTAGTATTTAAAGATGTAGAACATCAAGAACGACATGTATGTGAACACTTGAACATTAGATACATGCTGTATGTGATGGTTGAACAGCCTCCACTCTTCTGGGAAGGCTCTCCTTAAGATTTATTAAAACTGGCTGCAGGGATTTTCTCCCTTTCAGCCACAAGAGCATTAGTGATGTCCAGCACAGCCCATCCAATATCTCAAGGGCATTGGATATTTGGTTGATGTCAGGGCTGTGTGCTGGCCAGTCTTTCACACAAAAACAATTTTCTTTATGGACCTCTCACAGTGGCATTGTCAGGTGGAAGGCAGAAACGGTTGCATCCACTTCCTTTTAGCCATATAGTGTACTTGACTGTCCGATTATGTCTCCAATGATTTGTACATGCTTTCATGGCTGTATAATAACTAACCAGATCATTAACAGCTATCAACCTTTCTAATGTTTTGACCACAGGGATGTTCTCTTTTGACGACAACCTGGCGGAGGCTAACCGTCCCTACAGCGTTGACGAAGATCTGAATGAATCGGAGGTGAACGGCAACTGGACGCCTCAGGAGAAAGCGCTTCACGAGGCGCGGCTCAAAGCCAAAGCCAAGCGACGCCTGCGCAAGTCCTCATCCCGCAACTCCACCAGCGAGTCCTTCTCTGAATCAGGAGATTTGGTAGGAGGTGACCCACACAGTCCAAAGGGCAAAGTAAACACCAATGACCGCAAATCCAGGACGGGCAAAGGCCGAGGCCTGCCAAAGAAAGGTACGTTTAAGCTACACTGGTATATGCAGCGTTCTGCTTTTTTTGTTCCAGATGCTGCCACAGCCTTTTTTTTTTTTTACAGTAAGAGAGAAGGGGGAGTAGCCACAGGCACTGTGCCCAGCTGCTGCTTTGAGGCAGAGAGGAAAATTTTCTGTAGCTGTAGAAAGTTCAGCCATGTAGAGGAAAACTTTAAACAATGCAACTTTTGTTGGTGACATCAGTGAACATACAGATGTCTGGTGTAAATAAATAACAGGTTGTAACTTAATCTACCATATTGAAAATGGAAAAGGCACTGGTAGAAACATTTGTTTGCATATTTCGGGACCCTGGTCATTAAGATGTGACAATTTCTGACGTGTGATTTGTGCACATGTGTTGATTGTTGACAGCAGCAATTAGATTGGTTGGAAATGTGAAACATACCTTTATGGTTTGTCTGCTGGCTGTCTGGTTGTCTCCAGGTGGAGCAGGTGGTAAAGGAGTTTGGGGGGCTGCTGGGATGGTTTATGAAGATGAGGAGCCTGATGTACGAGACCCCAACTATGATGAATCTTCTCAGGTGAGTGAGTGTAGCAGTCTGTTTTGAGTTAGGACTGTTCATAGATTAATATGCATATTTATCTGAGAGAGTTTGGACTTTACCCTTAACCTTGGGTTGATTATAATTTCCGGCCATTGTATGTCTTATATTAGACAGATGGCAGTAGAGAGATTACAGGAAATGAGGGGTGATGGGTGAAAGATGGGGAAACGACATCCAACAAAGGCCCCGACAGAATGTGAACTGGCATTGTTGTGGCTCATGGCTCAACCCCTAAGCACCTGTGGCATGCTGGGTTTTGTTCTATTAATTTAAAAAAAATTACATTAAACACTAATAATAACTAAAAAATGTTGTTATTTTAATGAAGCATTGCACTGAAAATGGAACAAAGTCTAAACTGTAAATTTAACCAGTAATTTAGGGCTGCAACCAAAATATATTTTTAAATACTGAATAATCTGCCAATTTAATTGATTAATCATGTAGTGAGATGGGGAATTTAATAATTATATTTAAAGGTGACGTGTTCAAGTTCCTTATTTTGTCCAACCCACAGCTGAAAGTCTTTTGACATTTTGCCTGAAAAATGACTTAATGATGAATAATTTATCAAAAGTTGTTAATCTGCAACTCTTTTGATAATTCATTATTTCAACTCTAAATATTAAAGGGTACTTTTTTTTCCTTTGCGCTGCTGAAGTTGAACGTTCTGATCGTTGAGCAGCCTGTATGCACGCGCGCGCACACACACACACACACACACTCTGAGCTGTTTTTGCCAGCAGAGGTTAGTTGTTGGTGACCTGTTGCGTGGAGCAGCTTTTTGTTCCGAAGAGGCCCACTGATCAAAGCTGTGGCTTACTGGATGACAGCTTTTATTTCTTGTGTCAAACAAACGTGCTGATGTTGAAGTGCTGTTGCTGAAACACACAACACACTGAATATTAACAACGCTTTGCTTTGTGAACAAGATAATGGCTGTCCATGCTCAGACAACAAGCACCAAGCATATGCACTGTTGCATGTCTAATGAATTAAACCATTATTATTCTTATTCCCCTCTTGTGACGAACTTGGTTGACAAAACATAAAAGAAAATGGTTTGTAATTTATGTTAGATAATTAATCTATTGGGAAATACTGTTTTTTATATTACAAAGTCCACATGATTTGGCCAGAGCTCATTTAGAACACGCCTACTCACATGATTCATTCAGATGGCTCTTTCCCATCGCAATCAACAGCAAATTTCAATCTTTAACCCCCTTATCAAGCAAATGCTCTGCGTGATGCTGAAAGTTTGTTTGTCTCCTGTTATGGTCTCGCTGACTGAATTGCAGAGTGGGAATGAAGCTTATGTCCAAAGGAAGTTGATAGGTTGGTTTGGGAACAGCTGTGAAAATCGTAGTGGAAAGATGTCAGTGGGTTGACCGGGAACTGGGTCAGAGAGGTACAGAAAAATACCTGGGGAATTTGCAGATGCTGTTCTTTGAATTGGATCACCTGATGAATGATTTCTGAATGGTACAGGTCATCCTGTCCTTGGGGAAAATGACAAAATGTGAAAATATTTTTAGTGGCCCTGCAATCACCAAAACTATAAAAATAAAGAACATTTACATGTTCATTATTTTGCCTGTATTTGGCCATAAATTGTTGATTTGTAGAGGGTTATGGGAGAGAACCAAAACAATAAAACATGAGCAGAAAACAGGAAAGTGATTCAGAGTTTTGGACTTTTGGCTACAATCCATCTTTATACTGATATTTGTTTTCCTGTTATATAAACTCTGCTTTATCAAAAGAGATCAAGACATTTGAGTCGTCATGTGTTATACTCTTAAATCTTACAGGACATTAAAATAAGAGCCAGCTTTTATCTTTAAAAAACCAAAGAAGTTATTCTCCATTTATAGTTTGTCTCCTCATAATCTATTCACTCTGTGCTAAGATTATTTTGTCAACACTTGCTGTTGTTCTCCAGGTCAAGTGAAACCTCACCTGAAAAGTTAGTTGGACTGGTTTTAACTGGCACTTTTTGCATCCACTGATGCAAGTGTTGAAAAGAAAAAAGTTTAAGTTGCATTATAACAGAAAGACAGATAAAACTGCCATTTTCAAAGAAACCTCAGTGATAATCTCAAATTATTATATTATAATCTTCTGTGGTTTTTCTAGATAGTGATCATTCAGTCAGGTCATAGTGCTCGAATGTCAATGGACAAAGCTGAGACTGAAGTGCTACATACAAATAGTTTAAAGTAAAGGGATATATATGCTTACATACCAAATTGCGAAACCATATATGAATACAAATACGCATCCACTTTTTTTGTGCATTTTTTGACTGATAATGTGTTTGTTCTTGCACAGGGGGACACCATTTATGCAACCGTTGTGCCAGAGGTAGACGAGAGGGAACTGGAGAAAATGGTCAACCCAATTGTACAGGAGTACTTTGAACATGGAGACACAAAAGAGGTCCAGGTAAATGATCTCCACCCTTCACTATGCATGCTGACCAGGAGAGCTCGTATGCACAGATCATTAGAACACTAACAGTACTGTCTAGACACTGTATAGTTCTGTAAACTCCCAATTTCATACAGTTTATTTTACCTCCTCCCGTCAGATGCTACTGAAGGGGCTCAACCTGGGCCCACATAAGTACGAGTTCTCCTCCCTGGCCGTGTCCCTGTCCCTGGAAGGCAAGGCCAGCCACAGAGAGCTGACCTCCCGCCTGCTGTCTGATCTGACGGGCAAGCTGCTGTCACAAAGTGACATGGCCCGTGCCTTCGACAAGATCCTCAAAGAGCTGCCAGACCTCATACTGGACACACCGGAGGCTCCACAGGTAGGCCTAATGTGCAAATGTGGAAAGTGGCAGTCAGAGCCATAGATACCGTTTGTGTGAATTTGTATTTTGTGCATAAGTGGATCAAACTCTATAGATTGAAACTAACGTTGATGACATGATGTGGAGATGAATCAAAGACGTTTGTTTCTCAGATGTTGGGCCAGTTTATAGCCAGAGCCATAGCGGACCACATCCTCCCCATGTCTTTCCTGGACTGTTACAAGGGCAAAGTGGACTGTGAGCATGCCAGGTGAGCCAAGATGAGCAGAATTAGTATGCAGATACAGCATCATCTTCTTCAACATAAATACAAACAGCTCTAAGATTTTTTTTAAGTCTCTTAACAATTCTCGAAGGTGAATTTGTGGTAATTTTATGGTCAGATGAGCAAAAAGCTAATAACAGATTCAGCGGAAAACCCTCTTTGGCTTTCCTCCTCTCTGTATTTAAAACTTTTTTGATGAGAAACAGATGCCGTCCTCTACTGTAGTACAGTGTGTTTATCAGATAATGTTTTAAATAAAATAAAAAATCTACGTTGTGATGTTATCTTGGTGATTTTAGACCTCCATGCTCACTTAAGCGTTTCTCTGCAAAAACAATAACATTGTGTTGTTTTTTTCTTTTTCCCCCAGAGTGGCTTTAGACCGTGCCGCAGTGCTGCTGACCATGAAGAGGGAGATGGTTCGCCTAGATAATGTGTGGGGTGTGGGCGGAGGCCTGAGACCTGTCAAACATCTCATCAAAGAGGTAAACTGATCAAAAATGATTGTGACTTAATTCAAAATTACCTAATAAATAACCCCTAACACCTAAGCTCAGAGTATTTTGTGTTGACGAGGTCTGCTTTATTGACATCGTGTCATACACGTAGACAGAAGGCAGGAATGCATGCTGGGTAGAAAGCCACAGGCCAGGCCTCTGCTATGTTGCTGTGTCAGCAGAGCACTTTCTCCCCTGAGAAACGGGAATTGCAAAAACGAGGGCGCAGGAGGGGCTGACATGGATACACACCCTAGCTCTTAACTGAAATGCAGAC